TTGAGAAATCCAATGAAGTCAGGTGACATTTCTTCTATATGAACGCGTTAAACATACACGATAACCACCACGTGCGCGTGATGATGACGATGATGTGTTGATGCTTTCTGTTTATAGAAAGGTACTGTCCCTGAGGTTTTAGAAAATAAATTACCTAATTGACTTTCACACACTGCAGTCGGCTAGTAAACAGGAAACAATGTCACAATGTTAGCGAATCAACTCACAGGGTGATTCTCCTAACGCCGCTACTCATTTGAACGGAATACAAAAGCCGACTACTGAACTGGGGAATGGTTCATGGTTAAAATGGCATGCCCATCAAGTAAAATCGAGTTACAGAAAGATAAATGTGAAAAATGAAACACGGTAATCACGTTCTCATTAAAAATTACGGGTCAACGATCAAATTGTCCTAAATTCGGTTCGCCTGTATTGAACCGGCACACTGAATCCGCTACTCTGTCTTTGCTCTAACGTGTCGTAAAAAACCGCAAACAGACCTTCTTGACGATGTGCACCAAAAATTAAAGTCAACTCTGAACCGCACATTCCCAACTGCCCAACTTCGACTTGTTGCCTCTAATCGTACAAACAGATGCATGCTTCTTAATCCCGTTCTGTCCTATACATTGTGCAACACTTCACCTGCAGTTGTGGTGACGCATACATAGGCAAAACCAACCGTCAATTACAACAGTGAATGGTCCAACACATTCCAAAGTGGTAATTGAAGTCAATCACGCAATCCACACAGTAATTATGCCTCCGAAAGCCTCAGCATGGTTGGGAGTGGGTGTCTAGGGTTGCGGTTGGTTACCCTTCCCTTGCATCTCGCGACACGCTCCCATATGACCAAGCGTCTCCAATAGCCCCAGGTGAGGAAGCCCTACTCACTGTCTTCTCGTGGCGGAGGTGCTTTTCCACCAAAGTGAGAGGACGAATAGCCGACATCCGGGGCTATAACAGGGTTGGTGAACCACTGGTAGTTCAGCTAGGGGAATTGGCTAAAAACCCTGATTCCAAACCAACATACACGCCTTCCCGGTTGTGGCAGTGGTTACCGGCTCAATTGGGCATTGAGGTGTATTAGGCACCTTGGACGTTTGATCCCGTCCGAAAGGCGTATGATCCGATGAACTGGACACCGGTCCCCAATGGACTGCGGTTTTCACACCGCCCCGCAGCCTTGCGGGTTAGGCTTTCGCTAACCGAAGGCTCCGGTTGTGGATTCCTCAAGAAAATTCACCTGTCTTGGCCTTGCACACCTGGCAGTATCAGCTCATATGCCAATCATGGAACGTTTTTCTTCTTAATAAAGATTATTATATCATGACTTCCTTGGCACACAGTCTGTCCTCAGACAAGTGTGAAATACATACACATAATCAAGCAGTCACACGGAACGCGGCGTTATCAATTGCAAAACGTATCGTGACAACCAAACCATCCCGTTTTGTGAGCCCGAAAGTTGTCGAAGCGATCAGTTCACTTGCCGTGGAGTTCACCCTCATTTTTACTCTAACTTGTTCCTGTATATCTGTGCATATACGCTCACTACGATTTCCAAACCCAATGCTTGTTTGTTTCATGTCAGTGCGATAAAGAAGATGAAACAAAATGTTAACAGCTTGCGGCATGTTTTCCTCTGGTCTTCATGTAATATGACATTGTCAATCATCTACCTGCACAAAACTCGACCCTCGCTGTTGTGATGTTGAGCTGGCTGTTCTTGCCAACGCCTGTTGCCGAAAAAACGGCAAGAAAGACCACATCCATTGAAGATTTCATGCATTGAGGATATTCGGTACTAGAGACGTATGGCTCTTAGCCGCAAGTGCNCGCGGGGGGGGGGGGGAGGACTCTCATCGCATTCTAAGTCATTTGAGTATGAAGTTCACACAAGCTGCATAGATGTTACCTTACATGAAAACAATTCGCCAAATCGAACGTGTAAAACCTTACATTCGAAACGGAAATGCAGATACGTAGAAACCCACTTATGTGGACTATTCGATTAACCGGACCACTTAACATTGTCCTCTGAATTGAGTGAGCGATGTTATGGATGAGAAACCAGATTGAGAATAAACACGGTTGCGTATTTCTATTTTATCTCAAATCTTATCTAGTGTGAAAATCATTGGCTAACAGGTCTTCAGACGTGGTACTAATAACGGTATTTTGTTTACCATTTTATTTGGATATGAAACACGAGTACAAGCATTTTCCAGGAAGTGAGCTGAAAACAATGGTAGTCAGGATATAAAAAAAGAATCATTGACGGCGGTTGCAGGAGATTGAACACACAACATAAAAGTTAATACATTGGGATGTTGTTATGAAACATAGTCTTTTTTATCTTCAGGACCTTTTCCAGACTAAATGACATAGGACAGAAAATAAAATTGTAAAAAAGGCGTTTGTGAAACACTATTCTTTGCGATAATTCATATTAAGTGGTTCAGTTTTTAAAACTAGGGTTCTCAGGCGGTTGAAGTAACCAATTAACTGATGTCAGTTCTAACCCCTTCACTACCGCCCAACTTCCCTTTTTATATAACAAGCAAGCTCTCTCCTTGATTTGTCACTTTTTGCATCACTATATATACATTCAATGAAAGAAAGAAAAAACAAGAGGAAAAATAGTACAGAT